CCTAAGCCCTAAACCCAAACGGAACCTCAGATTTTAGGAACCCCCAAACCCTAAACCCCAAACCCTAACAGAAACACCCTGATCTCAGGAACCCCCCAAACCCTAAGCCCTAAACCCAAACGGAACCTCAGATTTTAGGAACCCCCAAACCCTAAACCCCAAACCCTAACGGAAACCCCCAGATCTCAGGAATGTGTCTTCTGGAACGAGACGGAGCAGCAGTGGTCGACTGCCGGGTTGACGACGGTCCAAGGAGCCTGCCAACTTTTTTTTGGGGGGGTTTAGGGTTTAGGGGTTTGGGGTTTAGGGTTGGGGGGTTGTCAGGGTTTAGTTCTTTTTTGTTTGTGAGGGTGGGGGGGGGGGTATTTGTTTTAGGTTTTAGGATCTGTTGTTTGGGAGTTTTTTTAGGCGGGGTTCTGGACGTAAGAGGGCGGGGGTTTTGTTCGTTGCTCGGTTAGTCATTAGTCAGTCTTTTGGGTTTTGTGCAGTGTATTTCGTAAGGGTCCACAAAGGCGCGGGAAGGGTTGGGTGTTCAGGGTCTATTGTCAATGTGTGCACAGTGCCTCGGGTGATGCATGCCAAGAGCGATGCCCTAAACCCTAAACCCTAAACCCCAAACCCCTAAACCCTAAACCCTAAACCATAGACCATAAACTGTGGGGCTGGGTCTAGGGTTCAGGGTCATCTTGGTGTTCGAGAGTTAGCTCCAACTGCGGAGCGGCCGATGTTCATTCCTTCGTGTGGCTTCTTCAACTCGTTGTGGGCATTATAGGGTTTAGGCTTAAGGGTTTAGGGTTTAGGGTTAAGGATCTAGGGTTTAGGGTTTAGGGATAAGGTTGAGGCTTGAAGCTGTGTTTGAGTGCGAGGGCATTCAAGGTTTGTGCTGCAAAGGTTTTGGGCTTTGGGCTGTGCCAGGGTTGAGAGCTTCGGCTTCGGCTTAGACCTTCGTTTCTGGTCTATGGTGTAGGTAGCACATACATGGCCATACCAAACCCGTTTTTTAGGGACCTCACAGATCCTAACCATGAAGACGAGGTACGCTAAAAAGGGTGGGGTATGACCCTCTAGGTAGCGGCAGGGTTTCTAGGGTGTAGGCAGCAAAGAGCTTGAGCTTTGGGGCTCAGGCTTTCGGATGTCTTTGGCGGCTTATGGAGCTAAAAGTCCAAACGCCCAAATAGTAGAGTGTTAGGTAGTTACCAAAAAAGCCATTCAGAGTATAGCATTCGGGCACCTAAAACCCAACTATGTGGGCCCGAGGACTGTAGGGGAAGCTTGCCCATGTACAACCGCATCTGCGGAAGTACATGCCAAGCCACCCTGACAGCAGACAAGCCTGAAATACTACGAAGTCCCTTGATCCTCCCGAAACGTCAGATTTGTAGACCTAAGCCACCTTCGGATAGCCGCAAGTGAAACCATGTATATTCCACTGCAGATAGCTTTTCTTACCTCTACTTAAAAAAACTCTAAGGGTCCAAGATCTCAGTCAGTAACGTGAAGCTCGTCCTTTGCGTCTGAGGAGGTACTGGCCTCGTCTGTTCCACCACGCTTTTTGGCTTTTGCTTTGGCTTAGGGTTGAGGGCTACGGGTTAGGTTTAGGGTTTAGGTTTTAGGTTTAGGGTTTAGGATTCATACTTTTTCGAATGGGGTGTTCTTGTTTCCTATGCCGGTGTAGAGACGGGGCATACTCACATTCGTGCCGTCCAGGTGGATTTCAGTTTTTGGGGGAGTGCTCGCCGCACGACGTGAAACCGCAATCCCTGGCTTCTTAATTTCAGACCCAAGCACTACACCGCTACCTTAAGAACCCAAAACCTACTTTTTTGTAGGGTCCCTATAAATCCCATATTAGGGTTTATAATAAGAACCTACAAAAAAGTGGGTTTTGGGTTCTTAAGGTAAACCCCAAACCCCGAAACACCAAACCCTGAAAACCTAAGGCCTCACCCCTGAAGCTTTAAAAAATCCCGAGGCACTTGTCCATCTTCAGCGCCATTCTACGGCAGCTTGAGTGCCTGAACATCCAGGCAAGTGGGAGAGCTGAAGGGATGTGGGACTTTGAGATATGATACACCCCCAAACCCTAAACCCTAAACCCCAAGCCCCTATAAAGTTCACTGACAAGCTCTTGGCAGGGAGTGGCGGAGTGACGGAATCGATCCCTACGGTAGTGCAAGATTGTCTCCTATTGCCAGACCTTCCAAAATCCTTTACTTAAGAACTATACACTCTAAATTACAATAGGATCCCTACCAGGACCCCCCAATGGCCCTTTAATAGAGACCTTATGGTCCTTAATAGTGGGTATTTGGGGGATAATAGAGGTTAGTTGGGGGGTCTAAGTAGTCGGATCTGGGCGTAGATTCCTTAGTTAACGGCTTTTGCAAGATCTGGGTTCTAATCCCTAAAGCTCGTTACCCCATTCCCTACTAAGAGACCAGGAAGTTTAGGGTTTAGGGTTGTAGTGTTTAGGCTTGTAGGGTTTTAGGGTTTTAGGGTTTAGGGTTTTAGGGTTTAGGGTTTTAGGGTTTAGGGTTTGGTATAGAACAGCTCTTCGGTTGGGTTAGAGGGACGCCTGCTGCTCTGTGCTACGATCAGGGTTTAGGGTTTAGGGTTTGTGGGAGCCCACAAAGGACCCAAAGATACTTTGTTGGAAGGGGGGAAATCCTTGCTTTTCGGTTTACCTAAAAACGGGGATTCTGGGATATCCCACCCTGACGGTTTTTGTTGAAGTGCTGCTGTTTATGTCCTTGTACGTAGCCTGCAACGACGCTTCGCCTTTTCTTGCTCCTCGGTCTCGGGGATGCGGGGACGCGGAAATCTGAGATCCTCAAGAACCCAAAGATTCTGTAAGATCCATACCCATGAACTGATGAATGCGGTTTTAGAGGTTCAGGGCTACTTCCGGCCTATTTTCCGGGGTTTAGGAGCTAATTTTGGGAATTCCGACCGCAAAACCCCCAAACCCTCACACCCCTAAACCCTAAACCCTACCCAAACCCCCACACCGGCATAGGTCTTGTCGGCAGCCGGCTTGGAGATGGCCTCGGCAGTAGAGTGGACCGACAAGCCTTCCGCGATTCTGCTCTACGCCGTGATGGCTCCTGTGCCCCAAATGTTTAGGGTTTAGGGTTTAGGGTGTAGGGTTTAGGGTTTAGCCAAAAACGTCAGGTTCAGCCTAATCATCTTAGGGGTTGAGTAGGGGACCTTTAACCTTTTGGGGCCTATATTATATAATCCGACCATCTTTCAAAAGGTTAACTTTTTTTGGCCGGGTATTCAGCCCCTGGAATCATGGACCCCAGACTTTGTATCATGGTTTAGAGGCGGCTCCTGGCAGGATTCTTGTCAGAATCCGACCACCGCGGTATGAGAACCGCTATATGGGTAGTTCTGTAAATTAGGGTCCCCTATAAAGTACGGCACCCTTATAATAAGTACCCCAAAAGGGATCCTTATTTAGAGAACTACCCATATTGTCACAAACATGAACAACCTTCATAGGGACTCACCTACGAACTCCACTACGGGTCCTTCACTAGCCCCTTCAAGCGGTTCCTTTAAGGGGGGACGAGGGTTTTACGGAACTCCTGGTGAAGGGTTCAGGGTTCGGTTTAGGGTTTAGGGTGAGGGTTTAGAGTTTAGGGTTCAGTTTTACTGCAAACATGGGGTTCACGAGACAAGAGTTGAGAAGGCAGGGTTGGCAGTTGGCCGTGATGGCTTATTTACATTAGGGTTACCGGGTCTCGGGTAGAGGTTGGTGTACCTTCACTCCGCAGGGTAGTTCCTTGGAGCTCTCCCTGTTTGATCAACTGTTTACCTTGTGTCCTCGTTAACGGTCAGGGAGCTGCTTTCCGTGTTACTCTTTCGTCTTCGCCAACATTGTTACACTATGATGCTCATCGCTGTGATTAGCGTAAGTATCGCCATAGTGACCAGCAGCAACCAGACTGGCATAACCACCCGTACTGTCTGCTGCATAGGGATATCATCATCATCATCATCATCATCATCATCATCATCGCACCGTCGCCATCATCGCCATCATCGCCATCATCGTCATCATCGTCATCGTCATTGTCCTCGTCATCATCATCATCATCATCGTCCTGATCCTCATCATCCTCAGCATCATCAGGCCGTCACTTTATAACCTTTGCCCCGTCAATCCCCTGACTTCGGCATGATTCGTTTCACAAGCCCGGCCCCTACGCCGGAGAAGGAGCTCTCAATCCAAAGGCGTTTTGTCTGAGTCCCTATATGGGTGGTTCTCTAAATTAGGGTCCCTTTTTAGATCCCCACTATAGTACGGCACCCTTATAAAAAGGACCCCAAAAGGGACCCTGGTTTAGAGAACTACCTATATTCGCACAACCGTCAGAACACCAGTGTAGCAGCAAGAATCACCATGGCATCAGCGATTGCCGCCACTCCAATCACAACGATATCCACGACTTTCAGTTTGGACAATTAGGGTTTAGGGTTTAGGGTTACAAACACAAACACAGAGTTAACAGTAAGTAGGCTTCAGGCGATTACGTCTTTCAGGCGTCATGATATTAAGCAAGGTCTAAAGTTTACCCGAAGGGTCCTAACACCTTGAGGACCCTAAACCCTAAACCCTAAACCCTAAACCCTAAACCCTAAACCCTAAACCCTAAACCCTAAACCCTAAACCCTAAACCCTAAACCCTAAGAGTCCTAATACTTTGGGAACTGGGAACACTAGGTCCTCTGAGGCCCCAAAGAGGCCCCACCACTCTGCTGAGATCCTTCCGGACCCTCCCATAGAGATACCAGGACCCTTCGGGTTTAGGGGTTAGGGCTTAGGGTTCTTAGGATTCTTAGGGGTCTTGTGTTCAGGGCTATAGGGTTTAGGGTTTAGGGGTTTAGGGTTTAGGGGTTTAGGGTTTAGGGGTTTAGGGTTTAGGGGTTCAGGGCGTTAGGGTTTACTGTTATACCGACCGGGACCCTATACCCTATCACATGCAGTCCGCACACGAACACCTTAACCCCGAACCCTAAAACCCGAAACCCTAAACCCCTCAAGCCCTAAACCCTGAAAGCCCAAACCCGAAACTCTGCAAATCTACAACTTTAAACACTACACCCGAAATCCTAAACAGAGATGGCATGCTTCCCACGCTTTGCCGAACTGGAAGCCGACTGCTCCACCGGCCAACCAGGTTTTTTGGCTGTCGCTGCTGGTGCCCTGGCAGTGTATTCTCTTTTTGTAGCCGGGATGTTCAGGCTTTTTGGTTGCGTTTCAGGAGATCATGGAATATGGATGCGAAGTATTGAGGTATGAAGAGTTCGTGAATAGCATCTTCATATAAATCCCTGCTAAACCCCTGTAAGACCCCAATCATTCAACTGTCGCTGGCCTCTACTATGATCCTTGTTGTTCCCTTGAAACCCTAAACCCTAAAAGCCCTAGAGTAGAAGCCCAAAAGTTGGAAACCAAACTGCCTCAATCCTTAAAGAGTGCTGTATACGGGAACCCCAGCGCTAATTGTTCTTAATCCGGTTTCCAATTTGGGGTGTACTATGAACCCCTACACCCTAAAGACCCTAAACCTTGGAAGTATGGGCCCCTAATATGGACCCTTAGGGGATTCTAGGGACCCTAAAAGGTACATAGAGGGTATATAGTAAGTATATGAGGATCCCAGGCTTAAGGGCCCATACTAGGGGCCATGGTTTCAACCGTAGATAAACCCTAAAAGCCCTAAGCCCTAAAAGCCCTGAACCCAAAACCCTAAAACCTAAAAGGCCCTAAACCCTAAGCCGCCTTGAAGGAGCCATTCAAAAGAAACCCTTAACCCTAAACCCTAAAAGCAGCAACCCACGCCTGCGTAGAAGTCCTGCCAAGCAAGGTCTTCGCCTGGCGCCGGGACCTGCTCTACTTGGAGGACTTGCTCCTGATTTCCCCCTTTTTTGGGGGTTGAGAGCTTTTGGGTTTTAGGGTGTTGTTTAGGGGTTTTGGGGGCTCCTTTTAAATTCCTGTCAGGGATCTATTGAATTATGATTTAGAGGGACCCCCCTAAGGGGGTATGGCAAATGGAGTTTGCTAGCAGAAGCTGATGGTAGCAAAGCAAGGCCTGCCAAGCACTAGCAACGGCTGGCAGGCCTTAGTAAGCCTTTGTAGTTTGGTTTG